TGTACTTTTTGAATATACTCTGCTATGCAGCACATGCAAGGTAAGCTTATAATTTACCTGAAGTAAATCTTATTTAAAAAGAAGTGTTTGCCACTCTGATACATCAAAAACATCTTGTGAGAAGCATGACAATTGATCTAAGTTCACCAGAGCTAGTGGGCCCCTTTCAGATGGAGAATCCAGCATTTGCATTTGCATTTGCATTTTCATTTGCATTTTGCTTTTTAATGAAGCTCAGCATCCTTCTGCTGGCCTCACTCAATGTCTGGGAGATCACCTCCGACTTAGGGCACTTTGACTTCATGAATAAAACAGATCTGACGTCCATGTCCAAATAGTTTCTTCATTTCATCTTCAGGCTCAACCCCCATTTATGTATAATTTCTCTCAACCAGTTTTTATATCCTTTATATATTTAATCATTATATATGAATTTTTATCAAAGTCTTGATTAATCTCCTTTAGAAAAAAAAGATATTTACTTCTATAAATCGTATTGGCTGGCTTCCTGTGTTCTTCTAACCCTCTCGCAGACATTGAAGGATATTTCTCTTGCCACTTACAAACATCTCAATCTGGTCTGGCTGTGTGGCACCATCAGTAACACTGGCCCACTGCGAGGCTGAGGTAAGAGGAATGCAAGTTTGAGATCAGCCTGGGGAATTTAGGGAAACCCTGTATCAAAATTAAAAATAGGGCTGGGGATAGAGCTCAGTGGTAAAGCACTTGTCTAGCATGTGTGAGGCCGTGGGTTCAGTCTCTAGCACCACAGAAACAAAAACAATCACCCAAGCCACACATCTTGAGGCTACTTTGAGGTGTTCTCTCCAGTGATGTTTGTCTTTCTCCCCAAATCACCCCACTTACACTGGTCTGGAGAACCATGGCTATAGCTCATGAGAGGTAATCAATCCTCCCCAGCCCCTTGGGCTTTATAATGCATCCTGGAACATCTGTATTACACATGCAAATGGAAAAGGACACCTGCAAATACACATCCCAATGACTCCAACTCTGAAACTCACTCACTCTCACTTAGTCTGACTGATGACCTGCTTCACTTCAAGGGTCCTGGCTTGAAAAACAAAGTCTGTCCTGTGTTGCCTCCTCATCTTTTCTTTCCATGCAATTAAACTAGTGCCTTCTCAGCTAAGCACAGAGTCCGACACCCTATGGACACCACACAGCACCCATTTCAAACTTTCCATCATGGTTTTCATGTCTTTCTGGGCATTCTGTCCGCTCACCATGTAATACTCTTGTAACCCCTCCTCTTTAATATTTGTATAATTAGGCTCCATTTAAAATTTTTCTATTCCTCCTAACCTTCTATTATAAACTTCTCTTCAAGGGTTCATGGTACATAGTTTTGCATTTAAAACCCACAGTACTAAGAGAACAATACACTCATCAACTAGTAATTTCTTAGTGTTAATATTTTTCTTTGAAACTAGGTATTCTACTCTTTTTTCTGTTTTGTCTTTTTTTTTCTTTGAATAAAATTTTTTTAAAAAGTCAGTCTAAGGCTGCATGAAGAAGCTTAAAAACTGCAATAAAAACAAATTCAACAAACTCCCACACATGATCACCACAGCCTTTGAAAGACTTCGGTCATCACAGAGTTCACCATTCTCAGAGAGCTAGTTTTCTGTTGGAGGCACTGTTTTCACAGTCTTAATAGTCTGAAATCCAGTTTTGCGATTCAAAGTTGGATCCAAACTTTACCATGAGTTCATTAAAAACATCAGGAAAGTTACTTAACCTCTCTAAGGTGCAGTGTTTTACTCTTCCCAGTTGGAGTTTTGTGAGATGTAAACAATAATATATCCTGTTTTAAAATGCCTGCCATGTGGCTGGGCGTGGTAGCTCACACCTGTAACCCCAGCACTCGGGAGGCTGAGGCAGGAGGATCGTTGAGAGTTCGAGACCAGCTTGGGCTACAAAGTGAGCTCAAGGCCAGCCTGAACTGCATAGCAAGACCCTGTCTCAAAAAGACAAAAAATAAAAAAATAAAAAAAGACACACAAAAAACCCTGCCATGTGATAGCCCATTAAATGTTCACTACGAATGCTGTATTTTATTATCTTTATTGTCCCACGTATTTTGAGTCTGTGCATTTAAAAAAGTTATCATGAGGTCTGTGGTAGATTAACTAGTAGTCAGCTTGTTTCTTGGAACCGGGACTCAAACTCAGGGCCTTGCACTCCCCAGGCAGGCCCCTGTGCTGCTAAGCTGTATCCCCAGCTCCTTAATGGCCAGCTTGTAACACCCAGCTGAACTGAATCACCTGAGAATCATTGCCAACTGCATAAAAGGAGAACTGGGGAGCAAGATGGTGTGCTCTTGATTCTCCTGGTGAAGCTTGTCACACTGGCTTTCCTGATATGAACTCAGCTGTTCTCATTGCTGAAGGAGCTTGGGTCCTTGCTGATGCTGAGGGTGGCTGTGATACTCTTCCAGGGAGCTCTCGTCTTTACCTTGAGTGTTGCTTCCTGGCTCCAGTGCAGATCCTCAGCCTGCTGGCACAGATCCTTCATCCCACTGGTGCAGGCTTTCTATCTTAATGGCTGACCTTTGGGCCTTCCGAGCACAGATCCTTAATACAGACTTGCAAGACACATTGCTGTGGGCTCTAGGCCTCCATTTGGACTTGTGGAAGGCATTGTCATGGGCCCTAGGTCTTAAGCTGGATTCATGTAAGACATTGTCATGGGATTCAGGCCCTCAACTGGATTCTTTGGGTCTCTAGTACATGAACAGATCCCCTGTATGCTTCCACATTTAACTCTTTGGGTGAATATATAAAATTATGTGTCCTATATTGTTTCCTTTGCAAACCCTGACTACAACAAGGTCTGAAGCTTAATGAAGGATATCTTAAGTATGATACAGTTAGGTAAAAATAATATAATTGAAAATATACTTGTTGCTGGGGTTTAGCTTCGTGACACAAGCGCCTACCTGGCAAGCATGAGCTCATGAGTTCCATCCCCAGTACAAAAAAAAAAGTACTTGTAGACCTACAGTGTCTGGAATGGACAAAGTAAGTTTACTATTCGTCAGATTCATCAACTGAATTGCTCAGTTCTAGGCTATGCCTTATAAAAAGATTATTACTGAAACATCCTGTTTTCTAAAGATGAGGGTCTAAAAATTGTTCCCTTTGAAGTTTGAGAATCCTGATACTAGAGAAGAAAAATTTAGTGTTTTCATGAAAGGGTAACATAAGGGAGCTTAGATTAATTTTTTGTGTGAGTCTCATACAGAATAAATACTGATAGGTATAATTTATGAAGAGGCTGATATGGATTTGACATTTTTTAAAAAAGACCTTCAGGTAACTAGAGGTATACAGCAATGTAGTGGGCTGTCATACACAAAGGTAAACATTCTAGTCATTGAGATGCTCAAATATTCACAACAGGATATAGGTGGGAATTGAGCTTAACTCTGGGATCTCTTCTTACTTATGGGAATTTATAATTCTAAAGTTTATTAAGCTTCTTTGGTTGCTAGGGTAGAACACTTGTCTACAATGCACAAGGCCCTGAGTTCCTTCCCCAGCACAGCAAAACTAAAAATTAAGAGTTTAATTAAAACAGGATTAGTTGAGTTGCAGAACTGGAAAGTCACAGAGATGAAGTCAAGGGTTTTTAACCTTGGTGTGGTTTCCTCTGTGTGGCTTCATCCTGAAAGGCGTCTCCCATTAGACAGTCCCTAGACATGCTGGGCTTGTCTGGTGGCTACAGTTGCAGATCCCCTTCTCTGTCCCTTAGCCTCTGGACCAGCTGTCTCAAAAGGATTCCTGTTGGTCTTGCACATGGTGAGATGCTGTCCCTGAACCATGAGAATGTCCTCGAGGACAATGTACTCCAACTGGCCAGTCCTAGTCACACACCAGCGACTGTGTTAGAAAGAGACTTTGTGATTGTTGGCACCGCCTGTAGTGGAACTGCTCTCTGAGAGAAGAGAGCTTGGGTGGATGAAAAGTAGTAGCTAACTGCTCTATTAAGACTCCTGAATAAGCAGATGAAAACTGCCAGGATTATTTCCAAAAGATGAAAAGTATAAAATAAAAAGCGGCCTTTATTCTGAGAACACGGAGAGAGAGATGACCAGCACCCCCACTACTGGCGACCGGTGATCTCTCTGGCAGACACAGGGCCGTGGGGGTATGTAAATTGCCTCGGTTTGGGGTGGAACCTAAGGCAGGCATTAGGGATGTATAGGTAGCCCATTGGTCCTAGGTTTCCTGCCATAGGTAAATTCCCAGGGACGGGAAGATGGCGTCAAAGGTAAATTCCTAGGGGTGGAGGATATAGGGGCTTCCTGCTTCCGGTTGACGCTTTCCTGACTACAGCGTCCTGTCTGGGCCAAAACTCTTTCAAAAACAACTATGTCTCCAGGTGTTCTGGGTGCCCCCAAAGGTGGCATTTCCTCCATGCCTTATTATCCCTCTCTAAGTACAGACAGTACCGTATTTCCCCTCCCCTAAACATTGCCCTTTATGGAACCATGGTTTTGTCCTTGAAGAGGTTAACAAGGACAGGTGGTTTTATTCAGCAAGCAATCTAGGAATAATTTCTTTCTAGGAATACTACTAACCATTGGAAAGTAGAAACCACCTGGGTTCAACTAGGTGCAAATGGACAACAAATGAAAAAGTTAATTTATTTAGATTGTATTTGCAGAGTACCTAGAGATCTGCTTCACACTCCCTATAGGATGCTTTGTTTCTTAAATGGAGTAGGTAGTTTTCTGAGATTTAAAAAAAAATATTCCTTTTTTTTTTTTTTTTTTTGTCTTTTTCAGTTTTTATCGGTACCAGGCATTGAACTCACGACCGCCTGCTTGCAAGGAAGGTGCTTATGCCGCTGAGCTAAATCCCCAGCCCCAAAAAATACCCTTTAAATTGTTAGGGTTTTTTCGGTACAATAGAGAAGCAAAAAGAAAGAAAAAGGATTCTTTTATTGAGGACATGGAGATGAGGGTTACCGGACCTCTGGCCGGAAGTGGCGCTTGGGTGGGCATGATGATGTATGAGGAACTGACGTGTGAGGAACTGACTGGATTTCTCTTCGCGGGAAAGGAAACAGGAAGTTTGTAATCAGGGCTGAAGGGGAAGGAGGAGGAAGTGCTCGTCAGGGTAAGTGTCGTTTTTACTTTGGCTTCCGCCCTGTTCGACCACTGCCTTAATGTCCTGTAATTTATACGAGGGAAACCTTTCATTCCCGTCTCTCTGTTGCTGGAAAGAGCAATGACTCTTTCTATTTTCTGCTCAATGGGGGCAACGTGTTGGGGTTCGGGAAGGTTGATGGGATGACGGTTGATGCCCATGTGGGTACCAGGTGTTCCATCCGGGGTAGGGAGTTTATCGTTGGTGGATGCTTGCCTCGTAGATAAAAGATTAAAAGACAAGGTGCTATGAGGACGCAGGTCATTATCATAATTAAAGAACCCAAGAGAAGTAGAAGAAAGGGACTCCATGACCTGAATGGGTCTCCACCAGGACCATGGTGAGGAAGAACATCCATAGCCTAGCTGTTGGTGCTTTTTGTCTACGTAATTGTGGAGACCTTCTGCCTTGTCCATGATGATTCCCAGCTCACTGATAAAGAAACAGCATTCTTCCAGCGTAGCACAGGTGCCTCTCTCTTGTCTACAGCTTGTGGGCTCTGGGAGTGACAGCTACAAGGCTGATTATTTAGTTCTCGAGTGAATGGGTTATGTTATGTTTGGTTATGTCTTCTATCTGTTGGTGAAGCTCCAGGGAGAGTTGATGATAACAATGGGCCGCTGTGCCTATTTCCCCTGCCCGGAGGCCACCTCCGAGTAGAGAGAGAGTGCCTGGGCCAAGAAGACCTGGGACGTGGACGGGCCTTCTTTCCCAGGTGAAGTGTGTATTGTCAATTTGGAATAAGAAAAAGGTTTCCATGGCCTCCTGAGAGTTTACTGTGAGGGCTGGAACTAAAAGGATTAGCGTGCAAAACCCTCCTCCCCAGGAAGAAGGCAAGTGTAGGCCCCTGTTTGGCAATCTATAAGCCAGCCCTGGGGTGGGAAGACGGCTAGTGGTTGGAGGTAATGTGGGTGCAGTGGGGGAGGTCCCCCCATTTGGGGAGAAGAATTTTGAGACCAAGGCAAGTGAGGTTAGTCAGCCAGTCAGGAGGACTGTAGATAAACGTCCCACTGTGGCTGGGATAGGGAAGAGGCATTCCAGTATGTGGGGGCAGCCATATAAACATTTTGTTGGTATGGGATGCAAAGCCAGCAGCACTCTGTAAGATTTGCGGAGTGTGACAGAGTAGCATATGTTTGTGACAGAAGCCGGAGAATGGGTTGAGCTTGCTGGGAGAATACTTGTGCCAGTGAGGTAGGTATTACTAGAATGCTGATGGAGGTTGGGGTTACTGGGTTTTACCTGTAGAATGAGGAAGTTGCCTTGTAGGGTTGGATTACATGGGTCATATTCATGATGGTCATAGAAATAAAGGCCCCAAGTTTTTTCCATGAGATACTGGGGATATGACGCATTTTTTAATTGTTGATCTTACCCATTTTATACTGTCTTCCCCCATAACTTGTTATGGCCGAGATAGAGGAAGACCCCTTTCCACTGATCTTTTATAATGTCATTAAGTACTTAAATTTCAACTCATTTAAATGTAGATATGAACCCCAAATCTAAACCAAAGTTTCTGTTCTGCTTGATATCTCTGTAGAATTAATATTTATTTAATATTTATTAATTACCTAAAATATCAGTGATTAATGGTATAATTACCATTTTTAAGCTTGATAACTTCAGGGAAATTTTCATATTTTTAAATATCCACAACAGTCATTGTTGAATACGTGTGTATCAATTGGCTATTGATAATATGGGGTCTATACCCACTGATATGGAAATATTTTCATGGTATTTTAAGTAAAATAACATTTGTCAAAATAACATGTAATGTATAATCCCATTCTCATTTCCTCTGTGTGTGTGTGTGTGTGTGTGTGTGTGTGTTTGAAAGAGTCTGAAAAAATCAACACTAATGATGTTGATCTCTAAATTGTACGATTTAATACTCTAGTTTGGATATGGTTTCACTGTGTGAAAATGTGGTCTCCAGTATGGCAGTGTTGGGAGGTGATAGACAATTTAAAAAGTGAGGCCCAGTGAAAAACAAATCAATAAACATGCCATCTTGGAAGAGATTAGTATCGCTCTTGTGGGATACTAATTCCCTTAGGAATAAGGGAATAAGTCATTATAAAAAGAGTGAACCTGCCCCCTGAATCTCTTTACTTTCTGATTCCTCATATAATTACTTATGCACAAATTCTCTCCATTGGGAGGCCAGTATACCATGAAACTTTTACTAGAACCTAAACTGATCTTAAATGTTTTCAGCCTCCAAAACAGCAAAAATAAGCCTCTTTTATTTGTAAAGTATACAGCTTTCAATATTTCATTATAGCTACAGAAAGCAGACTAATATATCTACCCTCTGGGATTTTTTTCTGTAATGAATATTAGAATAATGTTCGAAGAAAGTAAAAGTTACAGTTCTTGTCTTCAGTTCAAACTGCCTTGATCATGAGTGACTGGAGCTCAAGAGACCATTCAGACTCATTGACTGACAGTTTCTAAGTCTTCCTGCCCAACCAAATGTTCTAAAACCTCTGAGGATAGATATCATATACGTACGTAGAGTCACTGGTATCTAAGAGAGACAGGTATTCACCAAGCTGGTTTATATGGAAAAACAGAAAAAGTGCTATTAGCTTTTAATACGCATCTGTGGAAGTGAGCTCAGCAAGATGTCCAGGGATGGCATTTAAGCATCAATAAGGTAAAAGCACAGCCTCACCAGGCCAGTGGTCACAGGCCAGCTTTGGGTCCTGAGGCTCAATCAGGATCCCAAGGGAGCAACTAGAGTGTGCCTAAAGGGCCAGGACAAAAACTATTTGCAAAATATCGGAAGCAATTCAGTAGTTTCACAACCATTTTGGCAAGGAGGTGTCCCAAAAGAAGGACACAGTTGTTAACTGCTTATTAGCTAGGTGAAGTTTGTGCCCTAAGACCCACTCTCCCTGAATGTCTCCCTTGCTCCACCAGGTGATTCCTGTGGGGCAGATCCAGTGGGTATCAGAAAGCACAGAGCAACAGCTCTGTCAGGTCACAGCTGGGATCTGGGTCGGCACTCATAACTAGGCTGCCACTTTCCTTACTGAACATAAACAGTTTACAATGCATCAACATCAGATGAGGTTGCTCTGTGATTCTGATAGAAAACGAAAATGAGCCCATGCAGAACCACGTCTGAGACCAGAGAACAGAAACACTGCACAGATGATAAAAATAACCAAATGGCTTCCCTCCTAGCTAGTAAGTGGATGCCTGCTATTTTCCCCAACATCAGCTTTATGGCATCTTTCCCACACCTTAGATTTTAAAAATTTAGGTATCCAGTTAAACAATTGGGCCTGCTTTCTGACCATCCCCCAAACTACCTAGCAGGACACAAAATATCCTGCAAGAGCCACTCCTGACATCCTACTGAGCTGCCTGTGCTTTCCCACAGGGCCCAGGCTCCTTTGTTCCAAGTAATTCCAGTAAATTCATCTTCGCACAAATGTGTCCTTGCTCTTTGGCTGAGGACATGAACCTCATAACACTGTCAAAGCTGGTACTGCCCCTTGCTGTGACTGTAAAGACTCCAGAAACCTCATTCTATTGAAAGGCAACACATACTAAAAAGTGGATGGGGTGCAGGGGCAGTGGGGTAGGAAGGAGGAGGGAGTGAGGATGGAGTAGCTGGGTGGAGGAGGCTCTGACCTCTGAGTGTATCTTCCCGGGAAACTCCAACTCAGATTCAGAGCTGCTTTCGCATACTCAGAATTAACCCAGAATTCAAAGCGGCCAAGCCGTGGTGAGCCCCAAGCGGACACAAACACCAATGAGTAAACCTACCTGAATTGCAAACGAATACCATAACCACGTTGAATGAGGCAGAGAAGAAAAGAACTAAGAAACTGAGGCAAACGATATCTTGTTTAATTTTTAATGTTTGCAGTTTGTGCAGTTTATAATTATCCTGGGGAGTGGTTACATGTACCTACCATAGCTTGGTTTCTTTTTTCCCCCTCCTCCTCCTCTAGTTCCTCTATCCTATTTTTCATTCTTGTTGACATTATTAATCTTAGCTCATGTTGTAATATAAAATGTATACATTAATTGAGGTTATTAGGCTCTTGTGTATAACAAATCTTTATTCTACTTCTCTTCCCCTCCGACAACTCCTCCTGCTTTTTCCTCTTAGACCACCTCTCTATTTCAGGGGACCCATCTCCTTATCCCCTTCTGTCCATCCTTCATTCTCTTTGTTTGTACTTTGCTTCACTCAAATGAGTGATACTATTTAAACCTAGGTGTCTGGTATATTTCACTCAATATTATATTTTCCAGGCACATCGATTTTCTTACCAGTGTCTCAAATCTGTCATTCTTTATGGCTAAGTAGTGTTCCATTACATATAGACACCATAAAGAAATTTATCCAATCATCTGTTGATGGGGTACAGGCTGCCTCTAGGATTTAACTATTATGAATTGTGCTGCTATAAACATTGGTATGCATGTATCACTGTAGAATAATGTGTTAAGATCTTTGAGGAAGAAACCTAGAAGGGTCATATGAATTTCTTATTTTGGTTCTTTGAGAAATCTCCATTCAGATTTCTGTCATAGTTGTACTAGTTTGCATTCCTACCAAAAGGGAAGGAGGGCTCCTTTTTCACCACAGCTCCACCAGTGTTTGTTACTGTTGTTCCCAATAATGGCCATTCTTTCTGAAGTAAGATGGAATCTTAGTACTGTTTTGACTAGCATTAATGACTACAGGGGCTGAGCATTTTTTCATATATTTGTTGACCATTTGTATTTCTTCCTCTGTGAAATGTCTATTCATTGCTATTGACTAGATCTTTAATTTTAGTTAGTTTAGTTTTGCGGTTCTTTTTCTTTCTTTTTTTTTTAGTTCTTTGTATATTCTTGATATTTGTCCTAAGGAATAGCTGCTGAAAATTTTTTCCCATTCCGCAGGTTGTCTCTTCATTCTACTGACTGATTCTTTTGCTGTAAAGAAGCTTTTTAGT